CTGGCACAGGATCGGGAACGTTGGAAGCACTGTCTGACGCGTCTGCCTCCGCGACCCGAAAGGAGATGCGACGATGGAAGATGAAGATGAATTCTACCACTTATGACCGGATAGGATGGGGATAAAAATCTACTTTAGCACCGAGAGCTTCGATTTCCGACTCAGTTCTGGATTATTCACAATGGTTCGGGCTAATTCACGCAGAATGCCACTAACTACTCCAATTCTCCGGTCGACGTCTTCATCAAATTTTCCATCAGTAGTAAATACGACTCTGAGGTACTTAAACTTCTCAACCTGCTCTACTACCTCTCCGTTAATCTGAAAAGAGCAGTGAGTAGGAGAACGACGAAGCACCGGACTTTTTGTTTCAGATGCGTTCACACGCATGACGGTCACATCTCACTATACTCTGAACCCTTTTAGGGAGCACTGTAGATCAGTTTCAGAAGATGCCAATAAAACAAGGTCGTCTGCAAACAGTAACCTTCTCGTGTTCTCATCTCCTACAGTGATACACTCATCGCTTTGACTGATCCTGACTTTTCTATCCATGTACAACAGAAACAGGAGCGGGGTCAGGACACAGCCTTCTCGGAGACCAGTGCGAACATTGAATGGTTTCGACTTAACGCCATTTGTTCTGACGCAGCACTTGCTATCAGAATACAGTGAATGGATGGCCCGTAGTATCTAACCGTCGCGTACGTATGTTCGCAGACATGACCACAGACTGTGGCGCGGGATCAGGTCATAGCTCGTTTATGGGCTGAGAAAGCACATGTACACTGGAACGGCGAATTCCGACGATTTCTCCCTAATCTGGTGCGAGGTATATATATATGGTCAGGTGTGATACGATCGGGCCGGAAACCAACCTGCTCTTCTTGTATCTTGGAGTCAGTTATTCCGCAGCACCTCCTGTCTACCACCTTTGCGTGGACTTTACCTGGGAGGCTCACTAGCATAATGCTCCGATAACTGAAGCACTCTCTGTGGCTTCCCTTCTTGAATAGAAGTACAATAATTCCCGTTATCCAGTCCGCTGGTGACTTCCCCGTGGTCATTTCAGTTTGTCAGACGTCTAAGCCAGCATATGCCTTGTTCGCCTAATGCTTTGAGCATTTCTGGGCGGATTTCATCAATTCCAACAGCCTTCTCACTTTTCAAGTTTTTCACAACTTGTGTAAATTCATTTACAAAACTAGTAATATTCGTTCCCTGCTGCTGTACAGGCGAGTCTTCCTGCGGTTGCTCGGGGCTAAGGAGTTTTTCAAAGTACTCTCCATCGCCAAAAAATGTCCTCATTCTTGGTAGGAGAGTGTCTAGACCTGTCCTTTAAGACTCTTAAACTGCCCTTCTTTTCACCTCGGAGCCAGCGAATGGTCTGCCAGAATACATTTTTTTGCCGTGTGGAAATTCGTCTCCAACGCCGCAGTGAAGTTCTCCCTGGAATCAGCTTTGGCTTTCGCCACTGTTTTCTCTGCCGTCTTGCGTGCTTCGATATATCGCACGCGAGTAGAAGGTTCTTTATTTCCTAGCCATTTTTTGAATGCAGCCTTAGCTTTTTAACTCCATTTGTACCTCTCGTGTCCACCAGAAAGTTATCTTCTTGCCTCCAAGTGGCAGGCCAACCCGTTTAAATCCGCAGCATTCGGTGGCAGCCTCAAGTATGCCGATCTTAAAGAGCTGCCACTCGGTTTCCACATCAGTGGTCATAGCCGGAATCTGTTCAAACCGTCGTGCAATGTTGTCCGCAAATTTCCTTCTCGTGTCCACCGAAGATAGTGTTTCCCATTTCGCTCTTAGGTTGCTTCTAGCACCAGATCTTCCTATGGTACCTGTGCCAACAAGGTGGTGATCGGTTGGTAGCTCTGCTCCTCTCTTAACGGGAACATCCATTACTGAGCGTCTTTGGTCAGACGATACGATTATCAAATCGATCGTTGACTCTGTGCACAAGCTTCCTTTACCATGTATACTGATGCATTCTTCGATTCTCCGGGGTGTTCATAGTGGGCAGTCCGTTGTTTGCACAAAACCTCGACAACTTGATGCCGTTATTGTTGAGTCTCTAGGGCCTTTCTTTCCCATCACGCCGTTCCACTTTTCAGCGTCTACTTCGAGATGCGCATTAAAATTGCCCGTGAGTATGAGGGACTCCGTATTCGGCATTTCGTACAGAGGAAACTGCACTTCCTAAAGGAAGGAATTATATTCCCCCTCTTAGTTGGGCTCATAGATCTGTACTAAGGTCAACGCTTTGGCTTGTTGTAGTTGTCAGAGGATTAACACCCTTCCACTGACAGGCTTCCAATCAGTGATGCTGTCTGCGAGGTTGCGTTCTACTAGAACACCAACTCCGGCCTGCGCGCGCGTCATGATATCGACATCTGAGTAGGATAGCTTCCACTCGCGGAGGTTTAGGATTACAGAACCTTGGCGCTTCGTTGACGAGAGCCAAAGAATGTCAAGTTAGTGCTTCTTGGCCTCATTAACTAATTCTTGTTCTTTTCCTCTGAGTGAGGATATGTTCCAATTTCCGACTTGTAAGCTCCCGCTGTTGGTGTCGTTCTCGTGGAGCCTTTTCTGACGTGCTGTAATGTCATCGCCGTGTCTGCGTCCTCAGTTCAGAACGGGTGGCGACTCCTTTGGTGACTGGCATTTTCGTCGTCGATCTTCGTCAGCCGTTGTTGTGCTTCACGCTTCCGGTTGGCAGAGGGCGATGAGCAGGCTCTGGTCGCCTGTTTTTCGCAGTCTGCCTCAGTCCCCCAGCAGCCTGCGCGCCCTTGGTAACCCGGGCGACGTCCGAGCCGGAAAAATTTTGGCTTGCGTCAATACCATGAGTGGCGGATGGCAAACTTTTACGGAGACTTCGCCACTGTCTCCAACCCTCCTCCTTTCGCAACAGGGTTTCTGGCCGGCAACGTTGGAGCTAGATGAGGTATGATATCTTTGCAGGTATGAAATTTATATCTGAATTGGAGATGTCTACATGTTTTGATAGATTCGCTCATGAATGAATAGACTTTCGTCCACGATGAAACCATTTGCAGTATCAATGTTGCACTTGTGAAATGACCGTACTAATTGTTGTACCAGGCTCTAGCTTTTGCTCTTGAGTCAGACTGACTCTCGTTTCATGCAGCTGGAAGAAACCTTTTGTCATCTGGCTGTTGCTCTGTTTCTTTCTGTTGTTATTGTTACAGATTCTTCACTGATGGCGAAAAAATCCTGGTTAGTCTTGGACAGCGCCTATATGGAGACGCTTTTGCCGGTTGATCGAATGTCGCAACAAGCAATAACTTCACCAATTTCTGTTCAACAATTGAACCCTTGTGATGATCCTTTACATCATTTATCCTCTGTGTTATTCAGAATCATAGTCTTGAGTTTAGCTTGTAAAAGGGAAACTGCAAAACTTGCAATGAATTGAATCGTGGCAGGAAGTAGCACTTGTTGATCTTGAAGATATCTTCGGTCAAGCTGCGTTGTCCACTCTCAATGACGGTACAATATGTAACCCATTGTGCTGCTTTAATTATTTATCATGATCTGTGTAATCTTCTTTCTCTGAAGAAACCATGTTTTGGATATCATTTTATCGGGTTTTCTGATGAAATCCCAATTGCTGTTTCGTAGAAACCTGGTGAAATCTTTCTGCTCAAGTTCGTTTCGCGCTTCAGTTCTAAGAGCTGACTACTGAAAATTGTTTAAGCGCAGGAATTCAGGTGCTTCATCGTTGTGCTTTAGTCTGGAGTACACCGTTCTCTTCTGATCCTTATGTTTGTTAGTTTGTTGTCAAGATCAGATTTCAGAACATTTCCAAACATTGCTGCCAGTTGATTACTGAGATCATTTCCATCGCCAACCAGCTGTACGGCATCGAGTACCAATTCCCAGCCTTCATTGTTATTCCAACCTAAATTGCATGTTACGCCCTTGATTTGCATCAGGTGTAGAGCAAAGTTTTCGCGTAGAACAGAGTGAATCATTATGTCAAACGTTGCACTGCCTGCCAATAAATTCTTCATTCTTTGCTGCCTTTTTAATTTTAGGAACACGGTATATTACTGTATTTAGGGAAATGCGGAGGCGATGAAGAAACTACAAAACTTTCCTCAGTGTACGATTCACATGATCTCCAGTTATGATGAATGGGAAGAGAGTCTTTATT